GAAATATATCCTCCCCCAGCTTCAGAATTGCAATGAGTGCTCCTTGTAACAGTGCACATGGAAGTATCTTCCTTAGGGATCTCAGTTAATGAGATGTCACAAATAATGCCTCTGTCGAGGTCCAGTACTTCAGTAGCTCCTGGAGTCAGCATTCATGTTGCCATTGTTGTCATCTAGCTTTTACCTTGCAGGACACAGAAGATTTGCAAGAGTACTTGCTTGTCTGATGTACTTTAGTAGTTGGTTTTCTTCTAACATGAAACACCAGCTCAGTTGTTCTCTAGAAAGTATTTTGAAATGTTTGAGGTTTTTTTCTCTTGAATTTTGCACTGTCCTCAAAAGTAGTTTGATCATTTTGTTCTGACAGATATTTGGAGCATATGCTACACATCCCTTCAGGTTTAGTGACCATTACTATGGCACTGGCGAAACATTCCTCTACACATTTAGTCCAAATTTCAAGGTAAGTTAGTGTTCGCTTTCTCAAGTAAAAAAAACAAGAGAAGTGCTACTGAAGCATCCCTTAATGTTTCATGTCTTATGCGTTTTTCAGTATTAAGAACATTGTTCCTTTTTAGCAGACTGCCTGTTGATTTAGACATGCAAGCAGAATTTTGAAAAGGATTAGTGTGCCTTGTTAATAGTTTTAAATATGTGTTGTTCCTTTACTTTCTACCTACTACCTCTTCCTCCTCCCACTTCGAGAAAAAAAATTAATAAAATATGGCCACGCCAAAAATACCTCCTAAGAGTAGGTCCCCAGTAGTTTTAGAGTGTAAGAATCCTTGCAGTCCAAATATTTTTTTTAATTATATTTTTTTTTCCCCCTCCACAGGTATTCAAATGGAGTGGAGAGAACACCTACTTCATCAATGGAGACACCAGCTCTCTGGAGCTTGGAGGCGGAGGGTGAGTGAATGTTTGTTTTAATATAATGTAGCTATTTGTTTATTCATGAGAATGGGGACAAAGGTAGTTGCAAGAAAACTAATCGGTAAAATGGCTGAACTTTTAGTAAACTGCTTAGGGCAGATACCTCAGCAATCTGATTTTTTAGGTGTTTTAGGTAGATACACGTCTCATTGCTGAAGAGGTTTGCCACTAGAAGATAATACCTAGTGGAAGTTTTGCCATCAGCTTCTAAGGTTTCTCACATGGTCCCTACTAAATTGTCATTATTCTGTTGCTACACAGAGCAAGGATACAGCCAGTCCTTAATCAGGTCCTAGATTTCACAGGTCAGTGGGTGTGAAACCAAGGGCTAAGGCAACTAACTGAAGCTGACTGCAGGCTGCACCATGGGACATTTGAGCATGGTTTGCATTGGGAATGTATAAACACTCCTCAACCAGAAAGAGCTGTGTCCGCATCCAGACAGCCAAGGAAGGGACCCTGATGTCTGCGCCCTGGTGTCAAGTCACAGCCAGTGGTGTGAACAGCCAAATGGCAGGGGGGCCAGGGGTGCACACTCAGTCCTGTGCTCTGCCCTGCTCCCTGGCATAAACAGAAGCGGGAGGACTGCCCTGCGAGCTCCTTGCAAGCGCTTTGCCACGACTGAGCTCTTCACATGATGTCTAAGAGCTCCTCAGAATTACCTAGATTCCCCTGTACCACTCCTCTGGTTGTTTCTGCAGATTCCAGTATTGTTACTTTTATATGTGATGTGAAAATCGTTGTATATTTCTTTTTTAGTGGCCGGTTTGGCTTGTGGTTAGATGCAGATTTGTATCATGGGCGAAGCAACTCCTGCAGCACCTTCAATAATGACATCTTATCTAAGAAAGAAGATTTCATAATACAAGATGTAGAAGTATGGACATTTGAATGAAATACTGACTGCCTTAAGGACTGGATCCATTGGGCACTTTAAAAGCTAACCAGAAGGTGCAGGCTGCCTCAGAACGTTACACGCTTTTTCCTCAAGTTTGTACCAGAGCATGACTGTGCAAAAAACCCAACTAACCAACCCAAGAGAAGGCAGAGCTGGTTTTGAGAAGCAGTAAGAGATCAGTCTGAAGTGTTTTTTTACTTCCTCCTCCAAGACTTCTCCATTAAAGATATGATGCTTATGAAAACATTCATGGTGTATAAGTTGAAAACTTTTTCTGTAACTGTGAAAAAGATCCTGTGGGAAAACAGTAACTAGTACATTCCATGTGTATTTATGTTCAATGTACAAATGCTAACCAAAAATAAAAAGTTACTTTACCAAAATCTACAGCATACTGTTTGCCATGGAAAAGAATCAGAAATAGGTGTACACAACACTTAAGGGAACATGTTTTTAAAATCTTTTTATTTATTGTTATTGTATAGCAGAAATTTTTTTTTTTTTGTAAATGTGTTAGCTATGAGTTTTTTCTTTTAATGTTTCAAATCTCAATATGATAAATAATTACTATTCAGGTAGGTTTCTTGCACAGTGGCATTTATTCTGAATCAATTTATTTGATTTCTGAAGTTAATTTTTATATTTTTATTTTGTAAATGGGATTTGGGTTTTATTTTACCCAAATTAGAGAGTTTGTATTCTGGCAGAAACACTTGAGTGCATAATTCTATTTTATTTTTTTTTTTCCCTGAGATGAGGGAGAAGGTGGATAGTGGTTCTTACTAACTCAGCTGCCACATTCTCGTTAATAGGTAATTATTTGGGCAGTGTATGGAGACAGTGGGCAAACTGCCACCTGGTGTAGACTGTATCAGCTCTGTTGCAGCCAAGAGAATTGGGACAGCATGCTCTGAGCATCTGCCCTAGTATTATTTGAATGTTTACAAAGGACATCTCTAGGAGACGATTGTTTTTCTGTATCACCACCAAATGATTCAAAATAAGCCACCCACTGTAGCTATGGTTCTTTACAAATTGAAGAATAACTGCTTTGTTAAGGAGAAAGTACAATTGAGATTTAGAAAAGAATGTTATTTCCCTAACAGGCCAAATCATGTTGGTGTAACACTTGTTTTCTTAGTAATTATACATATGGTTTCCTTCCTGAAAAAGACTTGAATCAACAGGTTGGTTTGGGATTCGTCACACAACTAAATATTATTCTTTGTTTTTCATGAAATAATCAAATATATCTCTCCACTCCCCTCCTTCAGTACTGAAGATAAGAGACTCCATGTTACAAAATGAAAGTGGTGGTAAATGTGGCAGAGGACTGGCCATCTTCACTGTTTGCTAAAGATTTCTCCTTTCCCATTAAGCTGTGGTTTTGTTTACACAATCCAGACCCAACCAGCATCACGACACTGTCCTGTCCTTAGACTTGAATGTGTCATTGTCCTGAGAAAGGCAGTTTTCAGAAATGATAGTGTGTTTCCATGCATTAAAACAGTACAGTCTAATTTTTAAATATTAACTGAGTAATACAACTCAACTTAGTCACCACTCTGCCCTTTTTGAATAGATTATTAAAAAAAAAAAAAAAAAGACCCAAATGGTTTTCTTTCACAAGCATTACTAAATCTTGATCCTACACAGCAATGTCACAGTCTAAAAACCAATGCTATATACAGTAAGCCTGTAACACGCTGCACGTGAACTTTTCACACTTCCCTCCTGTGTGGTCTACTACAGCCATAAGGAAAATTCTTACTGGTAACCCTGTAAAAGATTTTGGAAGTTGCTAACAGCATAAAGCTTTGAAGATACCAGGAATGTCTAATATGGTAGCTGACCACTTAATAGTTGAAAAAAAAGAAACAAACCCAAACCAGCCAAGGTGAACATTTTACATGCATTTCACTATTGCTACCTACAACTTACGCCATTATATTATCCTTGTCAGAGCATATCTATGGTCTATATTCAAACCAGTGTTGTTCAATCAAAATTCTGTGACCCTTGAAACTATGAATATTGAATATATGTAATGCAGTGCTATCACCATATTTTCAATAAAGGAATTTATGCATTCAGAAAATTGTTACAGCTGTTTTATCTTATTAGCATATTTTGGTACATTTTAAAAATGAAAGGATGCTGCTTAAGTTAAAGGTTATGGTTTCAAAAAGAGAATTCCAGCCATATCACATCTTAAAAACATGGCTATGGAGATGGGAGGTTCTGAGGACTGTTCCTTTTGTGTGTGGTATGGCATGTCCTAAAGTAGATCTGTTTAAGTTCACTCTGAGACGGACTGTGACAAAGGGCTAAGAAACACCAGCAGAGTTCAACAGTTAACTTCGTAGCTCCAGTTTCTACTCTCAGCTGTAGAGAATGACATGTATTCCCTCATCATTTTTGCCTAACCTGTTCCCAGAAGTCAAAAGTTAAGTCTACCTCATTTTTGTATGCACCCTTTTTTTGTTGCTAAAGACTTCCTGTATTCTTTCTGTCCAAGCAAGACAAAGGCACAAAGTGCCTTAAAAAGTGGTTGGTTCTTGGCTTTTATAGGTTCTGTGCTATACAGAGGTGGTATTATTAAAAAGGAAACTACGATAAAGCATGAAATGGAACAGGTTTTCTGTGAACCTTGCTTTGAGTCAAACGGTGGTAAGAATTTTGTTCAAGTAAGAGGAAAATTGTGGTCACTAGTAATTTTTCTGAGGAAGAGCAGAAGCTTGTTCTTGCAACACAATAAGACTTGTAAGTACCCAGGTAAGTGCAGATGTTCAATATTGTGCTGGTTTCAGTGCAGTCTTTGCACTGGATGTGTTGTACAAAACTGGCTTTGGGGCAAAGTAAAACCCCGTTAATTTCAGAATAGTCTCCATGTGTAAATTTCACTGCTTGTTTGTAGCAGAGAGAAGGAGCAGGATAAGATCATTGGAAACTTGATTGCCTTGTGCTCTGCAGCTCATCACTTGCTGACAAATTAGCTTCTTCAGGTGGAATAGCTGTGTCCTGTTTGTAAAGCACAGCTTGCACGCTCTGAAACAAACGCATTTTTGAAAAACATTGTTCTGAATTTTGCAACTTGGTATCTCTTTAAACCTTATGACCACTTGTCTGTGGGACAAGTACTTTGTGCCATTTGGGCTGCACAAGCAACATGAATTCTGTGATCAATGAGACACTGGAACAGGTTGCCCAGAGAGGTGGTAGATGCCCCATCCGTGGAAACATTCAAGATTGGGTTGGATGGGGCTCTGAGCAGCCTGATCTAGTTGAAGATGTCCTTGCAGGGGGATTGGACTAGAGACTTTTGAAGGTCCCTTCCAACCCAAACCATTCTATGATTCTGTGAATTGAACGAGCTCAGAATGCACTTAATTTTATTCCCAGTTTGTGCCTTTTTCTTTCTTTTTTTTTTAGTGGAAGCTGATGTTGAGGAGACCTTCATCTACTTAGATTGATACTTCAGTGCTGGGATTCAGCCTGTGGCTCAAGGTCTGTTTCAAAGCACTGAGGGAATTCAGAGTTTCACCCTCCTAGAAGAGCCTCTCCATGTCAGGGGTAAATCTAATAATAGAATCACTTAGTCTCAAAGGTGATTTCCAATCTATCGAGTCCAGCTGTTAACCCAGCACACTGCCAAGTCCACCACTGACCCATACCCTTAAGACATCTATCTACATGTTTTCTAAACCCCTCCAGGAGCGGTGACTGAGCCGCCTCCCCTGTTTCAGCGCCTCACCCTTTCGGCGAAGAGCTTGTTCCTATTACCCAGTGTAAACCCCTCCTGGCACAACCTGAGGCCACGTCCTCTTGTCCTGCTGCCTGTGTTTGGGGAGAAGAGACTGACCCACCTCCTGGGGAGCGGTGGGGCAGCCGGGGCACCCTCAGC